TACTACTACTACTACTACTACTACTACTACTACTACTACTACTACTACTACTACTACTACTACTACTACTACTACTACTACTACTACTACTACTACTACTACTACTACTACTACTACTACTACTACTACTACTACTACTACTACTACTACTACTAATAACAATAACAATACTACTACTACTACTAATAATAATAATAATAAAATGTTTAATGCAAATATGTAATCTTGCTGATAGATAAAAAGTGATTCATACTGACCTGGAATTAACCTGTTCAGATGCAAGTGGAATGATTCAAGGGATGTGGACCCTCTTGCACATCTGTAGTTTGGCAAGACAATGCCCTCCTTGGTAGTGGTGCTTGTTACAGTCTACAGGAGGACACCTGGTTCATCCTGAATGCACTTCACATGCTTCTTCTGGATTTGCCAGATGTGCTGCATCCTCTCGTGGTCCAAGAGAGGGACACCAAGATAGTCTCTGCCCTTTACCCCCATGAGCTCATTAAGAAGCAGTTCAATCATTATGATCATCTGCCGCTCCCCTCTTGTCTGCCTCCTGCAGTGCAACGCTAGTTCCTCCTTGGTGATCTGCTGGTCCACTAGTTGTTCAGTGATCCCAGGAACACCTTCTCGTTTCAACTGTTCCCTCTTAGCTTGACGCAGCAAGGCAACATCTCCACTGTCCCACTCAAAAATGCAGCTTGACAGCCTGGACATAAAGATGGGGTAAAGAGGATGTGCATCCTTTGTACACCCAGATGCCAGTCGCCGCATGAAGTGGTATATGTCAAGCTTTACAACCAGGTCTGGCCACCCACCAAATCTTTGCTTTAGTTTTGTCTGTCCTGTGCCGTCCCGACAACATTCACAGTCAACATAGAGAAGCTGAGGAGGAGCCACACCAGCATTGCTGTACCTGCGGATGAGATCAGCAGCCATGGTGTCAAGAGCAGGACCCTCCTGAGCAGTCAGGACACTGACGAGGATTTGGCCCACCTCATTGCTCACAGATGTAAGCCACAAGGCGGTCCCCTTGGCAAGGCCTGATAGCTTCTTGGTGATCTGTGAAGGAACACCTTTTCGTTTCAACTGTTCCCTCTTAGCTTGATGCAGCAAGGCAAAATCTCCACTGTCCCACTCAAAAAATGCAACTTGACAGTCTGGACATAAAGATGGGGTAAAGAGGATGTGCATCCTATGTACACCCAGATGCCAGTCGCCGCATGAAGTGGTATATGTCAAGCTTTACAACCAGGTCTGGCCACCCACCAAATCTTTGTTTTAGTTTTGTCTGTCCTGTGCCATCCCGACAACATTCACAGTCAACATAGAGAAGCTGAGGAGGAGCCACAACAGCATTGCAGTACCTGCGGATGAGATCAGCAGCCATGGTGTCAAGAGCAGAACCCTCCTGAGCAGTCAGGACACTGATGAGGATTTGGCCCACCTCATTGCTCACAGATGTAAGCCACAAGGCGGTCCCCTTGGCAAGGCCTGATAGCTTCTTGGTGATCTGTGATCACACAGAAAAGACAGTGAATGCCTAAAGCCCAAATAAACTTTCTTTTATATGTAAAATACTGAAATAATACTGTTTTTTTATATACAAAGCATTAATTTCATTTTTCATGTCTTTACTGCTAATGTTGTATTTTAGACTTTTGTTTGTGAGGTAGGATTTTACAGTGGCAAGAGTTAAAAATATTTACCTTTTTTGTGTAATCCATTTTTAATATATTGCCAAAGGTGGATGCTATGCTGGCTTTTATGTGATCCATTCTGCTTAAGATGTCTCAGCCATAAACAGCCAGCATCCACCGGTGGGAAGGAATAGCCACTGGCTTAGGAGGTTCGTGGAACTTGATAGGGTGCAGGCTTGGCTGGACAACAAAGTCTGAGCATGCGCCAAGGTAGCGACAAACACGCTTAAGCCACTCTTCGCTGTGATTTTCCCTCACCTGCCTGACCAAGCGGCTGGGGCTATTACCCAAGGTCCTCTCCCTCAGAAAACGGATCACCCGTATGTCACAGGCATATCTGTATTAAGAAACAAAGTGAAAAAGAGACCAAAAAATGGCAAACATTAAAACAAGCTAATTTATAGAGTGTTTGAATGACAAACATTTGTGACACAGGCTAAATAATTTCAGTATACTCACTTTCGTGTCAGGATCAGTCGAAACTCCATTCTGTGTGCCAAATCCAGCTGGTCCAAGATGGTCTTACTGGTGGAAATGTAACTCGTTTTACAACCAGCTGAACTGCACCAGAGTCTCCGTGATCATCAGGTAGTACCTATCCACATCCAAAACTTGGCGGGCTTTCTTGTGGGCTCCATAACCTGTGAGCTGTTTTCCACAAACAGGACAGGACAGCCTGACCCTCCAAAGGTGGTATGGCATCCACAAGACAAGCCGGTGTGTGAAAAAATGCTCTGGAGCGGGGGCCTGATGATAAATGAGCGCTGGTTCCGGTGGATCATACCACAGCTTCAGGTCAGTGCGCAGCCGCTTGTTCTTCCACAGAGCAGATGAAATCCACTTCTGATCCTTAGGTGGTATGGCCCCCATCAGCTTTGCAGGCAGCCAGCCAGGCTCTGAACCAGGAGCAGTCTCCATGTCAGCAGTAGGGTGAGCTGAGCAACCAACCACAGATGGAGCAGCAGAGGTGACAAAAAAAGAGGTGGCAGTGGCAGATGCCGAGGTCACAGGGGCAAGAGGAGAAGAGGAGGTACCAGACGAGAAGGCGGGAGATGACACTTCCTTTATAAATAAAAAAAGGCAAATATATATATACATGACTGCAAGTCACTCATAAAGGATGCTTATTTGAAGTTAAGTATCATTGTGAAGAATATTTAATTTAAGAGTTTCTCACAGCTCTAGCAGCTACCGATGGTATCGAGGAGGTGGTTGTGGACACAGGAGAGGGAGGAAGAGACAGAGTCGAGACAGTCTGAATGTACATTCTGGGACTGCAGGCAGGCGATGGTGTCCTCCTTGTCATGGCACTTATGACAGTGCTGGACATGGCAGAAGAATCAGAAGTGCAACTGATGGGCTGAGAGAATATGACCACAGTTTACAACATTATATATAATATTAATCTGTCCTTAAATCCTTATTAGGAATTACAGTAATGACAACATAATTTAAACATATCTTTATGGAATGAAAATAACAGTAGCCTAACAAGAATACCCAGGCATAACAAGAATAAGAATGCATAATATACGATTGTATTATACGATTGATTATATGATTGTAAAATCAAATTCAAACTGTCATTCTCTTTACATTACCTTGCTTGCATGCTTCCTGCCCAAATTTAAATTTGGCTTTAAAGCGACACCCTGAGACTCACCAAACCGCGGCTTTATAAACTGAAGAAAAAAAAATTTGTTTTAATTATTAAATAATAATTTATATAATAAATTAAACTGCATATATTTGAATATGCTAGAATTTAAATATCAGTATCAGTAAATCCTCATTACTTACTGATGCCATAGTCAAAGTTGGCTTGTGGGGTGTGAGTCGTCCAGATGTTGCTGTCTGCCCTGGTGTTGCAGCCAATGATGCAACAAGTGATGCAGATGAGGGACCTGGTGTCATTGAAGAGGACACTGACCTGGAAGGCTACATGTTAAGAGAAAAGAAAATTTAATTTAATAATAGAGACTACAACACCAACACTTCATAATTTTAGGAAAATATTTTTGATACCTTTGTTGTATGGAATCCACAACTACATGTCTGTGTCCCTCCAAACAAAGACATTTGTCCCCTCAACTGCACTGGACATTTTTCAATCTGTAATTTTGTTTAACAGTGAATCATAAGAATGTGACCCCTTTCAATATGACATAGCTTTATGTTTTATGATTGTACACATATCACTTTATCTAAATTTACCTTCAGATACATGTCATGCCACTTTCTCTGGCGGGGCGCTAAGTTCAAAGACTGACTTAACAGTGGCTTTTTTCCCAAAATAACTCACAAAAATATATTAAAATAACTCGCTGTGAGCGATGGGAGGCGGACTTAATGCGCATGCTCCTGCATCCCCGCTTCAGGATAGAAAAGGGCCACGGTGATTGGCTGTCATAAAATGGAAATGGCGAAATCTGATGGGCTGTCATAAGATAGAAATGCAGAAACGTGATTCGTTGATATTAGACAGACGCTCGGTCCTCAGGCACTGCTATCGAAGGCATGGGGTGTTAGTCAGAACCTCAACCTATCAGGGTTCTGTAGCTCTACTGCTGGCCAAAAATCACTTCTGGTGCAGGAAGACGTGCTGGCTTTTTGAGGAGGGAAGCAAAAAGGAGCCCACCATCCCATATCGGGAGTCGAACCAAAGCCACCGGGGTAAAAACCAGGACTCCTAACCGCTAGTCCATATGGTAACTGCCTTTAACTGGCCACAGGCTTGTGGACCACTTTCCATACATGTGGCCAGTGTGGGGGCAGGGTTTTGGAGTGGCCAATGACTTTTGGTGCGTGACTTAACAATGTGAGAATAATTAAGCAAAACAAGAATTATCTGAATGGATAGTTTACTGAATTAAATCGTGTTGCATGCATTCAAGGGATCTGTTGTTTGACTCGCCCAAGGGGTTCAGTTTTTTTGGAAGATTCTTGTGATTGCTGAATAGATACCTCAAACTGGTAATTAAAGTCTTGTCCAGGTGAAAATACTCACGTCATGCATTTGAAAACACGCATGGTAAGCGTTATCTAGAGGAAAAACAGCCTATAGTCGGTGTGTCAAGGTACAAAAATGACAATTTGTGAGATTAACAATGAAAGGGAGGCAAATTTTTAATCGAATAAGTTGCTGATTATTTGCTCGTTCAGTTTCATTGATTCATTCAGTTTTCACTGTGACTTGACCACCTGTAACTTGACCACCAGCTTTACAGTACTCAGCAAACGCCGTCCAGCAGTGTCATGTACATCAGAGCTCGTGAAATGGCTTAATTTGCATAAAAATGCACTGTCCACAGAAAGCCTGTGGAGGCCCCGTAAAATAAGTTACAGCTGTCACTTGACCACCCGTATCTTATTTGATGGGACCTCCACAGGCTTTCCATGGACAATGCATTATTAGCTCATATGTCATAAAAACGATGATTTTATTGAGTAATACCGGCAGTAAAGTGCTGAGGAAACACCGTCCAGCAGTTTCATGCACATTAGAGCTCGTAAAATGGCTTTATTTGCATAAAAATGCACTGTCCACGGAAAGCCTGTGGAGGCCCCGTCAAATAAGTTACAGCTGTCACTTGACCACCCGTAACTTATTTGTCGGGGCCTCCACAGGCTTTCCGTGGCCAATGCTTTAATAGGTCATATGTCATAAATACGATGATTTTATTGAGTAATACCAGCTTTACAGTGCTCAGGAAACGCCGTCCAGCAGTTTCATGTACATGGGAGCTCGTGAAATGGCTTAATTTGCATAAAAATGCACTGTCCATGGAAAGCCTGTGGAGGCCCCGTCAAATAAGTTACAGCTGTCACTTGACCACCCGTAAATTATTTGACGGGACCTGCACAGGCTTGCCGTGGACAATGCATTAACAAGTCATGATTTAAGTTTATAATCATTTTATTATGCAAAACGTACAGTGCTACATTCGGGAAAAACCGTCTAAAAAGTTAATATACATTACAACTCATCAATATTCATATTTACCTTAAAAAAGGTCTGCCCACGGAAAGCCTTTGAAGGTCCCGTCAAGTAAGTTACAGGTGTCACTTACTTTTTTGTGAATTTCACCACTGCATGCCCTTCTGTAACTTATTTGACGGGGCTACCACAGGCTTTCTGTGGACAATGCGGTAATAGGTCATATTTCATAAATACGATGATTTTATTGAGTAATACCAGCTTTACAGTACTCAGGAAACGCCATCCAGCAGTTTAATGTACTGTACATCGGAGCTAGTGAAATGGCTAAATTTCCATAAAAATGCACTGTCAACGGAAAGCCTGTGGAGGCCCCGTCAAATAAGTTACAGCTGTCACTTGACCACCCATAACTTATTTGGTGGGACCTCCACAGGCTTTCTCTGGACAATGCATTAACAAGTCATAATTTAAGTTTATAATCATTTTATTATGCAAAACGTACAGTGCTCCATTCGAGAAACACCGTCTGACAAGTTCATATACATAACAACTCATCAATATTCATATTTACCTTAAAAAAG